CCAGGCCAGCTGGGGGACAGGCTGTCCCTAGAGCCTGGAGAGGGAGAGAGAACGGGTGGAGAGGGAAGTTTAGGTGAGGAAGGAAGGCAAAGGAGTTTTTAATGATGGCCTTGATTCTCTTAGTGAAGAATGTACTATTCTTTGTTGAGGCTGAGGGAGGCAGGGATGGGATGCGAGCTAGGAAGAGAGTAGAGGGGCTTTGCACTAGGAATGGTTAGGGTGGGCCAGGCTGTGACCAAAGGCAGAGTGAAGTGCTCAGTAGCAAGGAGAACGCAGCTGAGCTGGAGACCATGAGTTGGCGGTGACGCCAGGTCAAGATACTCTGCAGGTTAGAGCCCAAGGACAGAGGTCAGACTGAACAGGCTGGGGATTAGTGCAGGAGGACAGAAGGGTCAAAGGTCAGAGAGGGAGGGTAATGATTAAGGGGGCCACACTGGAAAGAAGGAGGGTGGTGAATGGGGGCATAGTAAAATAGGTGGGTGCAGGACTAGGGATGTTGGTGCAGCTGAGGAATTCATCTGGTGACAGTGAGAGAGTTCTAATATGGTTCTAATATGGTCTGCTCGTTCAGAACTTCAGAGATGGAGCACTTTCGGGTCTAGAATGTGACCGCAGGCAGAGATGAGAGGAAGAGGGTTGGAATGGGAGGTACTGGAATTGAAGAGGTCCAGGAATGCTGAGGGTAAGATGCCGCGTGTGTCATCTGCAGGGAGAAGAGGGTGCCCAGGATGGAGAGGAGCACCAAGATTCAGGAGCTGAGTCCTGGTGATGTGAGGGAGTGGCCGGGAGGCCAAGAGGTGGCTCCAGGGGCCAGCAGGGGTCAGCAATGGGGGAGGGAGGTAGACATGGTATAGCGAGGATAGTATCATTTTAAAAATGACGGAGATTTGTGTGTCCGATAAATAAAGACTGAAAACTCAACCAGTGTATAAAGGATTCTATTCTTTTCGATCAATAGTACCCCAATGAGTATCTGTAGCTCGATTCATTCCATCACTTTCCTGTTGGCAGGCATGTATGATGTTTCCAGTTTTTTGTGAGTATTAAAAACAGAGCGACAGAGACCTCAGGCATGTGTTCCCATTGTTGAGAATACTTGCAAGGTAAGAGCCTGGCAGTGAAATTACTTGCTCAAAGGACTAGTGCATTCACTTGATTTGTTTTGTGTATTGATGTAAGGGTAGGCATCTTATTAATTTTGAGAGCTTTTGCCAACTTGCCTTCCAAAGAGGATGTGCCAATCGATAATCCCACTAACAAAGGACAAAGCTTTCTGTTACCTGTACCCCCACCAACATGAAACCCTGTGCTCAAATGTTTTAGTCTTTAATAGAAAAACAAAAAACAAGTAGTTTAGTCTTTGACAACTTGACAAGTGAAAATGGCTTTTCATTATGATTCTTGTATTTCTTTACTTTGAGTGAGGTTGAGCATTTTTTTCTATTTGCTAATTGATCTTTTCTTTTCTTTACATTCTCTCTCTCTCTCTTTCTTTCTTCCTCCCTCTTCCTCCCTCTTCCTCACTCTTTCTCCTTTCTTTCTTTCTTTCTTTCTTTCTTTCTTTCTTTCTTTCTTTCTTTCTTTCTTTCTTTCTTTCTTTCTTTCTTTCTCTCTTTCTCTCTTTCTCTCTTTCTTTCTTTTTCTTTCTTTGTTCTTTCTTTCTTTAAATAAGTAACCTAGTGTTTCCAACTGTCAAAGTTCAAATCCTGGATTTTCTACATACTTGCTGTGTGAGCTTCTGCAAATTACTTGAATTCTTGGCTCCTCAATTTCCTCTCACAAAATGGGGATAATAATACATTCCTGCATCTTAGGGTTATTTATGGTGAGAACTAAGCAGCTGTAATAGATGTGAAGGGCTTAGGCAGTGCCAGGCACATGCATGGTAAGTAGTATGTGAGCAATAACTTTTTCTGTTGTTTTTTTGTTTTGTTTTGTTTTGTTTTTGCTGCAGGGTGTGTGCACTCATGAGAGAGATGAAAGAGAGAGAGAGAGAGAGAGAGCAAGAAGAGAGAGAGAGAGAATCATGCCCCGGGAGGATGGCCACACTACAATCCCTCTCCTTCTCTCTCCTCTCCGGATTTTGGCAATGCGTGTCTTCCACTGGATCTGGGACTTAACTGACAGTCAGCCATGTGGGATCTAGGTGCCTTAACCACCATACCCCTACCAGGCCAGTGATAGCACTGAATAGTCTTGCCTATTGCTCATTTTCCAGATGGGTGTTCTCTCTTTTACTTATTGATTTGTCTAAAGTAGCCTGCTGGCTGTCACATGTATTGTTTTCTTATCTTTTATAATTTGACCTTTTATTTTTTTTAAAGAAATATTGCATTCTGTGCAGAAATGTTACATGGCTTTCATTATGATCATAAACATTCACATTCCAAGACAATGAGAGAGTTATTATTTTTTCTTTAAGAAGCTGAGGGTATGTTTTTAGGGAATGGACATGAGTTATGGTTCTGAAAATACAGCAGGGAGCCAAAAAAGAATGTCTCTCCGTCCTCGGGGAGAGGAGCAGCGGATTCCACCTGTGGGAGTTGCAGGGGCTGTGGGGGCTGTGGGGGCTGTGGGGCTGCTGTGCCTGGGTGGGTTTAGTGGAGCCAAGCAAGGCTGAGTGCCTGGGGCTGCTTGTTGGTCGCTGGGTCCAGAGAACCAGTGGTGCAGCAAGCAGAGGAGTGGGAAGATAAGGGTGTGTACTCTCACAGAGCAGAATGTCCTCGGGGTCAGGAGAGCCTGCCTTGGGGGTAGGCAGAGGACTCCTGGGGCAAGGCTCTGTGGCATTAACTCATCATGGTTCTGCCTAGGATAGTGAGGTGGGGTCTGTGAGGCCAACAGGGGCACGGTAGGATGGGAGCTTTGGATGGCCAACTGGATATGCCCTCCTTCGCTCTGCACAGCCTCCTTGAAGCTCTCCAGAGGATGTCTGTGTGCTGCCTGGCACCAAGTGGGCTCCTAGTGTTGTCCTGCCAATGTAGACAGGAGGAGACTGGCAAGGGCTGGAGCGGCAGGGGGGGACCAGGGGGGGGGGGGGGGGGGGTGGGTACTCAGCAGGCTATGGAATGGGGAAATGTTGCTCAAGGGGTGCTGAGGCTGGAGCCTGATAAACCCAGAGACTTTTTCTCCTTTGCCATATGCTCCCACAGTTCTCTCTAGGTGTGGAAGCCGGCGAGCTCGTCATTGGAAAAGAAACTGGGCCCAGGCAGGGCAGCGACTTGTGTAGGGTCACAGGGCAGCAGCAGCGCCCTGCAGGAGTTCCCAGGCCAGGCTATAGGTAGGATACGGCTTCCAAAATACAGATCCCGAGAAAGGGGTGCGTGTGGGGAGGGAGGAAAGTGGGGTGGGGCGCAGAGGTAAGGGGTTGGGTGGGAGTGATGGAATAAAGAGTTAGGGATGAGTCCAGAGGGATGAGGAAGTTGGCATGCATGCGTGTGTATAAATTAAACAATTGGTCTCTTTTTCCTGCTTGGGGGTGAGAGAAGGGAGGAGTGGGATTCTGACTACAAATATCACAGGACCAGGACATCTGTAGTATGTTCTTCAAGCTGCAGCTGAGAATTCCAGGCTCAGTCTCTCTCTCACACGCAACACACAAACACCCTGCAAAAGGCAGCACTGCAGGTCTCCCTGGGTATCTTTCCGTTTCTGGCCTGAGCTGTCCCAGCACCAGAGGAGAGAGGAGGGCAGGGAGGGAGGCTCCAGGGCCTCCACTAGGGCCACTGAGAAGGGGTAACTGCAGGTTTCACCTCGCCGAAAGTCCCTGTGGTTTAACTGAAATAGCAAACCAGGAAGGACATTCCATCCTCACCCTCCTCCAGGACTCTCCCAGGGCTTGGTCAGGGGTGACAAGCTGACCCGTTCACTGGGCAGGGCTAAGTGGTCTGGGGAAATAACAGGGGTAGGGAGTGGTGCGGCCAGGAGCTACTGAGAAGTGGGGCCAGCGCGTGGGTAGGTGACTCTGGCCGGGGTTCCCTGTCTGGTGTTCCCTGTCCAGCACGAGGCTCTTGACTGGATTTGAAACTGCTGGGAATTGTTGGGGGCAGCCTTCAGGTGGGGAAGATGATACAGCGGTCTTTAAAGAGGAAAATCACAGGGTGAGGAGATAGGGAGGAGTGTTTGAGTGCAAGCAGCACATGTGCCCATAGATAGCATACACATGTGTGCTTTGGTGCACACCCCCATGCACTTGTGGACTTGCACTTGTGCAAGCGTGTTCACAGACATGCACATGCATGTGTTTAAGGGTGTGGGCACAGCACAGGTCAGAGGCCTGCATGGTATCCCCTTCACCTACAGGGAATGTGACCAGGGACAGGGGTCTGAGGACAGTGCAGCCCCAGGGTAGCCATTCCCAGGCCTCCAGCATCCTGCTTCAGATGTCCATTGGCTGGGGAGGGGAGGGGAGGGGTGGGACCTGGCCCGCAGTAACCAGAGTCCGGGCCCCTCAGCCCAGTTTCTTTGTGGACAGGTGTGGTGGAGCATGAGCCAGGGAAACCAGCTAGGCCAGGCCTACCTTGGGGTCAGACTACTTGAGAACCAAGTGGATCTCTCCGAGGAGCTGGGGTTTTAGAAAGGGAGAGTGTCAGGGAACCTGGGGGCAGGGTGAGGAGTCGGGGGTGGGGAGTCTGGGCGCTGAGTCCGGAGCTGGAACTTGGTGCCTATCCTTTCCTCCAGTCCTTTACTCCTTGATCTCTGCTCTGGCCTCAGGAATCTGAATGTTCTTCACTCCTTCCTGGGAGAAACCCCGTCAGGGAAGCCTTTCTGACCAGCCCTGATGGCTGTGCCCCACTGCTTTCGGCCCCGCCTGCATCCGCCGGGTGGAGGGTGTCTACGGATCGCCCTCCTGCCTTCTCCGGACCGTCCCAGCACCAACTGGACGCCCGCTGCGCGGGTGGAGCACCCGAGGGCAGAGGCGGCCCCACCAGGGGCCTGGCAGCAGAGAAAGGTGGCCCGCGGC